CTGTGCAGCCCGCACAGGTGGGGTCACATTCTGGAAACAGGAGAGACAGTGAGGACAGCAGCCGCCCGCCTCCGGGGCAGCCGGGTCTGAACCCCCGAGCCGAGAACAGGGGCCCACATCCGCCCGTCTCCCGCAGAGGACGGGCGAGGGGATCTATGCCGATGGGCCTGCAGCTCAGGCCCAGGGGGCAGGACGGGACCCGGGGGCAGTGGTCTCACAGCCTCGGGGCTCTCGGCTCGCCTGCTCGGGCAGCAGGGCTGACGGTCCCTCCGACAGGGACAGGCAGCCTCCCCCGGCCCAGCCTCAGCCCGAGGCCCCAGCACCCCCGTCCCTGACGGAGTGCTCTGGGAAGCGGCCCCACAGCAGGGGGAGCGTGAGAACTACCGACGGGGCTACAGCGGACAGCTGGGCAGTGACGGCCACGTCGGCCGAGGAGGGGGTGACTGACGCGGAGACGGTCCCCCGCAGCCCGTGCCCCCAGGAGGCCGTGGGGACTCCCTCTCTGTGGAACGCCTTCTGGAACCTTCCTGCACTGCCCCCCGCCCCCGGCTTGTAAAGGAGGAGTGCGCCGGGGCTGAGAACCGGAGCGGTCAGAGGCGGCGGCCGCCTCACCTTCGCACTGGAAGGAGCCGCCCACGTTCTGGCAGAACTGCTGCTCGCTGCAGGGGGGCGTCTCCGCCGCGCACTCGTCCACGTCTGCAACCGACACGCCGTGAGCCAGGGCCTCCCGCTGTGGGCAGTGGGGCCCCGGGCAGGGGGAGGGCAGCCCCCCCGGGCAGGGGGAGGGCAGAGCCAGGCAGCCCCCCCGGGCAGGGGGAGGGCAGAGCCGGGCGGTGGGAGGGCAGACCTCCCGGGTGGCGGGAGGGCAGACCCCCCAGGCAGCGGGAGGGCAGGGCCGGGCGGTGGGAGGGCAGAACCCCCGGGCAGGTGGGGAGGGCAGGGCGGCCAGCAGCCTCACCCACGCAGGCGCCGTCCTCGGAGGCCCAGCCGGCCTGGCACTGGGTGCAGTCTCTGCTGGTGGGGCCGGTGCACAGCTTGCAGGACTCGTGGCAGGCTGAAGGGCAGGGGGAGCCGTCAGGAGGGGACCAGGTGGCTTCCTGCACGCCAGGGTCTCCCTCCGAGGAGGACGCGCGCTGACACGCCACCAGCCGTGGACGAACAGCCCCCCAGCAGCCAGCCGGCGTGCTGCCGAGAGGGCGCCCGCCCACGGCACCGAGGGGTCCGTGGGGCCGAGCACAGCGGAGGGTCTGTCTGCCTGTAAGGCACTGAGGGGGCCCAGGTAACGGCCCAAAGGCCCACCTCCAGCACCCCATGAGCAGATGGCGTGTCCTTGCAGAGGGACCTGGACCAGGAGGTCCTCCATGCGGCCCCAGCCCTCCCACCGTCTCCTCAGTGACATGGCGGGGCTCCGCCTGAGTGACAGCAGGCCCCCCCCCCCTGGCCTCTGCACCCCACGCCCCATGCACTGGGCCACTCAGCAGGGACCCAGGCGCAGGGGCAGGCCCTGCACTAGGACACGCCAGGCGCCCGCCGGTCACGAGAAAAGGCCCCGTGGGAGCCACAGAACTGCCCCGAGCTGCCCCGGGGGTCAGGGGGGAGGGACACTTCCCTGGGGGTTGTGTAGGGACAGGAAGTGCGACTCCCCGGCGCCTTGGTCCTGTCCCGCCCCTCCTCTCCCCTGCCCTGCACGCCTGGGTGCCGGTACCTGTGCAGACGCTGTGCGTCTCGTTCCGCAGCGCGCTGAAGTAGCCGTCCATGCAGTCGGTGCACAGGGCCCCGCGGTAGCCCGGGTGGCACTGGCAGGACCCGTCGCCCTCCCGGCTGCCGTCTCCGCTGCAGCGCCCGTTCCCGCTGCAGGGCCGCTCGGACCCACCCTGGCACGCTGTGGGACAGAGCCATCAGGGCACACAGGGCACACGGGCACGCCCTCAGAGCCATCAGGGCACGCAGGGCACATGGGCACGCCCTCACAGAGCCATCAGGGCACCAGGGGCACATGGGCACGTGTGAGACAGAGCCATCAAGGCATGCAGGGCACACGGGCACACTCTCACAGAGCCATCAGGGCACGCAGGGCACACGGGCACGCCCTCACAGAACCATCAGGGCATGCAGGGGCACACGGGCACGTGTGGGACAGAGCCATCAGGGCACCAGGGCACCAGGGCACACTCTCAGAGCCATCAGGGCACCAGGGCACATGGGCATGTGTGGGACAGAGCCCTCAGAGCCATCAGGGCACACGGGCACACTCTCACAGAGCCATCAGGGCACCAGGGCACACGGGCACACTCTCACAGAGCCATCAGGGCACCAGGGCACATGGGCACGCCCTCACAGAGCCATCAGGGCACACGGGCACGCTGTGGGACAGAGCCATCAGGGCACCAGGGGCACCAGGGCACGTGTGGGACAGAGCCATCAAGGCACGCAGGGCACACGGGCACGTGTGGGACAGAGCCATCAGGGCACCAGGGCACACTCTCACAGAGCCATCAGGGCACCAGGGCACCCGGGCACGCTGTGGGACAGAGCCATCAGGCCACACTCCGAGCAGCCTTCTGCCAAGACCCTGGAGCCACCTGGGCCTGAGCGTGGAGAGGGCGTGGGGCAGCCTCACTGCAGCTCAGCACGAGGAGGCTCAGGTGGGGGGCGGGCGTGGAGCCGATGGACAGCTAGACCGGCCGGAGGAGGCCACACGCCACCAGAAGCGGGAAAGGCAGGCGGGAGCGGCTCCGGTCAGCGAGGGCCTGACCGTGAACACCGCGCCGCACTGCCCGCCGGCCACGTGAGTGACGTGAGTGATGCCAACCGAGGGGGCTCAGCCCTGACCCACCGAGGCACAGCCGCCCATGGCCGCGCCCTCAGACGGCCTCTGCTGTGCGAAGAGCTGGCCTGGGCTGCGGAGCCGCCTCCCACGCGTGCCGGCCCCGGCAGGGCCAGCCGGACCCTCCGGTGGGCTCGGAGGAGGCAGCACCCAGGTCCCGCCCCGGGATCGCCGTGGTAACTCGGGGTCTCGCCAGGAGCCGTACCGAGGCAGTCGGGGCCATAGGTTCCCGGAGGACAGCAAACTTTCAGCGTTTTCACACAAAACCACTCAAACAAGTCAGGGTGCTTCTTCTTCCTGGGGAGTTAAGAGTGTCCGTTAAGCCTCACACGCGTGTCTCAGAGAAAACCGCAGGTCACCGCGAACACGCTGCGGCCTCTCGCAACCCGAGGGCGCAGGCGGCCACCCTCCCTCCCCACTGGGTCGCTGGGTCCCGGCCGGGGGGTGGGAAGCCGGGGTGCGGACGCCCTCTGACCGGCCGCCATAACTCCCCTGAGGGTGACGTGACTTCAGAGTCACCGAAAAGGGAGCGTGTGGCTCCGTGACCAGAGCGGACACTCACAGCCGCAGCCACCAGGCCTCCAGCTGCTCCTCGTGCTCCTCCACCAGGCGGTTGCACTCGAAGTCGCTGCTCCCGCACAGGCCCTCCACGATCTCCAGCAGGCGGACCTCGCTGCAAGGGAGTGCCGGCACCCGTCAACCCAGCACCCATCAGCCTGGCACCCATCAGCCCGGCACTCGGTCAGGTCAGCCTGGCACCCGGTCAGCCCTCCTACAGGGCACTGCTGAGGCCTCACCAGGGGCCACGCGCGGTGCTATGCAGAGGAATGAACTGGAGGGGGTGAGTGTCAGGGAGGCCTCTCCTTCTTCAGGGTGATGGGCAGTCAGGGGGTCCCCAGGGGAACCTGGAGCTGGGGGTGGGAGCTCTGGCAGAGGGGAGGCCAGCGCTGACAGCTCGTGGGATGGACTCTGTCCCTGCGCCTGGCAGAGGCCGGCGAGTCTGCTGTGAGGACGGGAGCCACAGGGCCTGCGGCGGCCAGGGGTCAGCTCCGGCCAGAGCAGTGACCGCGCTGCAGGGACCCTGCACGCCGCCAGGGGGCGCCGCGCTCAGGACAGCGGCGCTCGGAGCGGGCACCCACCTGGACTCGTACTTGGACAGCGACTTCTCCTCCCAGGCCGTGTTCCCGCCGCCGAAGTTCTTCTTGGCCGTGTCCACCATTCCCTGCGGGGGCGCGGCTCAGGCTCCCGTCCCTGGGGGCCCTGTGCACCGCGGGGGTGGCCCGGGCCACCTGGGGGGTAACCTGGGCCCATACGGGGTGTCCCCGGCCCATGTGGGGTGTCCCGGCCCATCTGGGGGGTGACCTGGGCCCAAACGGGGTGTCCCCGGCCCATCTAGGGTGTCCCGGCCCGTGTGGGGTGTCCCGGCCCATCTGGGGGGTGACCTGGGCCCATATGGAGTGTCCCGGCCCATCTGGGGTGTCCCGGCCCATGTGGGGTGTCCCGGCCCATAGCGGGGGGCCCGGCCCATGGCGGGTTCCCGGTCCCCCGGGGTCGGGGGGCCGGGGTGAGAGGAGGGGGCGGCCCACCTGGTTGAATTTGTCCACCAGCTCCCGGCAGCGCCTGCAGGGCGTCGGCCTCGGGGAGGCCTCGCGGGGCAGCCCCAGCAGCAGCCCCAGCAGCAGCCCCAGCGCGGCCCGGGCCGGGGGGCGCATGGCGGCCGAGGGCAGCGGCCGAGGGGGAAACGCGCTCCGGCTCCGCCGCCCACCGGCTCCGCGGTTCCCGGGGCTACTTGACGGCGCCGGGCTGGGCCCGCCCCCTGCCAGCCCGCGCCACGCCATTGGCCGGAAGCGTCCGCCCCGTCCGCATGTGGCCCAATCAGGGCTCGCCACGAGGTGGCCAATAGGAAGGCCCCGGGTCAGCGTCCAAGTGGACCGCCCCCGGCGCCATCTTTACTCAGGGCGGACAGGGCGCCCGCGGCGCCGGCCGGGCCCGCGGCCATATTGGAGTCGGGCAAGGGCTCCCCCGCCCGCTCCCCGGCTTCCGCCGCCGCGTTCCGCCGGGAGGGCCGGCCGCGCTCCGGGACGCGGGTGGGCGGCGGGGTCCGAGCCGAAGCTCCCGCGGCCTCCGCGCGTGTCCACGTGGGACGCCGCCGGCCTCCTCCCTCCTCCGCGGCCCGGAACCCGCATTCCCCCGGCGCCCGCGCCGCGGGTTCGCTCAAGGCGCCCCCGTTTCCCCCGGAGCCGCCGCGGAGGCCCCCGAGGGGCGCGGGCGCTGCCGCCGATGGCGGGGAAGAGGCCGCGGGACGCGGGCCGCCAGCGCCGGCTGCTGGGGCTGCTGGTGGCCGTGGCCGCCGCGCACCTGGCCGCCTGCCCCTACACCAAGGTGGAGGAGAGCTTCAGCCTGCAGGCGGCGCACGACCTGCTCTACCACCGGCTGGACCTGCAGCAGGTGAGGCCGGCCTGGCCCCGCCGCCGCTGGCCCTGACCCTGACCCCCCGCCGCCGACCCTGACCCTGACCCCCCCGCCGCTGACCTTGACCCTGACCCCCCGCCGCCGCTGACCCTGACCCTGACTCCCCCGCCGCTGACCCTGACCCTGACCTCCCGCCGCTGACCCTGACCCCCCGGCCGCTGACCCTGACACCCCCCCCCGCCGCCGACCCTGACCCTGACCCCCCGCCGCTGACCTTGACCCTGACCTCCCCCCCCCCCCCGCCGCTGACCCTGACCCTGACCCCCCCGCCGCTGACCCTGACCCTGACCCCCCCCCGCCGACCCTGACCCCCCGCCGCTGACCCTGGCCCCCCCTCCCCCCACAGTACGACCACCTGGAGTTCCCAGGCGTGGTGCCCCGGACCTTCCTGGGGCCGCTGGTCCTCGCCGCGCTGTCCAGCCCCGCGGTGTGCGTGCTCTCTCTGCTGGGCTCGTCCAAGTTCTACTCTCAGCTGGCAGGTAAGGGCCGCCCGGGACCGGGGCCAGGCCAGCCGAGGCCACCCCGCTGTGTCCACCTGGGCCCGGCGCCCTCGGCCACACAGCAGGCGCTTCAGAGCAGGGCGAGGTCGGACGTCAGCCCTCTCCGGGTGCGACCAGGACAGGGAGCCCAGCCGAGCACCCCTCGCGACCGTGCCCTGCGGTGTCTGCCCCTTCCCGCCGCCCGAGGCTGCAGTGCAGAGCCTGGTGCTTTGTCTGCCCCGAGCCCTGCAGCCTCCGTTCCCGCCAGGAGCACCATCGTCCAGTCCAAGCCCGGACCGTGTTCACGTTCCCCCAGGACACAAGCACGTCCTCACGGCTCATTGGCCGGAGCCAGGACCCCGAGGAGCAGGTCCCCGAGGAGCAGGACCCCGAGGGGCCAGGAACCCGAGGAGCAGGTCCCCGAGGGGCCAGGTCCCCGAGGAGCAGGTTCCCGAGGAGCAGGTCCCCGAGGGGCCAGGTCCCCGAGGAGCCAGGTCCCCGAGGAGCAGGTCCCCGAGGAGCAGAGCCCCGAGGAGCCAGGACCCCGAGGGGCCAGGACCCCGAGGGGCCAGGTCCCCGAGGAGCCAGGTCCCCGAGGAGCCAGGTCCCCGAGGAGCAGGTCCCCGAGGGGCCAGGACCCCGAGGAGCCAGGTCCCCGAGGAGCAGGCCCCCGAGGGGCCAGGACCCCGAGGAGCCAGGACCCCGAGGAGCAGGTCCCCGAGGAGCAGGACCCCGAGGGGCCAGGACCCCGAGGAGCCAGGTCCCCGAGGAGCAGGTCCCCGGAGCCAGGACCCCGAGGAGCCAGGACCCCGAGGAGCAGGTCCCCGAGGGGCCAGATCCCCAAGGAGCAGGTCCCCGAGGAGCCAGGTCCCCGAGGAGCAGGTCCCCGAGGAGCCAGGACCCCGGAGCCAGGACCCCGAGGAGCAGGACCCCGAGGAGCCAGGTCCCCGAGGAGCAGGTCCCCGAGGGGCCAGGACCCCGAGGAGCCAGGACCCCGAGGAGCAGGTCCCCGAGGAGCAGGACCCCGAGGGGCCAGGACCCCGAGGAGCCAGGTCCCCGAGGAGCAGGTCCCCGGAGCCAGGACCCCGAGGAGCCAGGACCCCGAGGAGCAGGTCCCCGAGGGGCCAGATCCCCAAGGAGCAGGTCCCCGAGGAGCCAGGTCCCCGAGGAGCAGGTCCCCGAGGAGCCAGGACCCCGGAGCCAGGACCCCGAGGAGCAGGTCCCCGAGGAGCCAGGTCCCCGAGGAGCCAGGACCCCGAGGAGCAGGTCCCCGAGGAGCAGGTCCCCGAGGAGCAGGTCCCCGAGGGGCCAGGACCCCGAGGGGCCAGAACCCTGGGGGGCAGCCGCTGGCTCTCCGGAGACAGCCTGGGAGGCCGCAGCCTGCAGTCACACCCGCTGCGGCTGGTCCCTGGGCACCTGGGAGCTCAGGCGGGAGGGTGGGGACCTTCTGAGCATGCGGCACTGGAGTGTCCCGGCCAGGAGGGGGCTCCTGGTGCCAGTTTTGGGCGCGGCACCCTGGTACAGACCCTGCCTGCCCTGCCCGCGTCTCAGTCACAGTGAGGCCTCGGGCCCGGGTGCAGGGGCCAGGCCATCTGTTCCCCACATGCAGTCATGTCTAACATAAGGTGACCAGACGTCCCGCTTTTGGCGGGCAGTCCCGATTTTTGGAAAGATTGGTGGGACAGTCCCGATTTTTAGCAATTTGTCCTGCGTCCCGTGGCGTTTTAAAAAAGTCCCGATTTTTAAAACGCCACGGGACAAATTGTCAAAGACCGGGACATCCGGTCACCTTAGTAACACCGAAGACCCTCCCCTCCGGTGTTGCCCTGTCAGCGTCCCTGACCGGCCACGTCGGCGTGGAAGACCGCGTGGCCGGTCCCACGCCTGTCGCCTCTGTCCAGTCAGAGCCGTCCTTGGACTCGGGGTGATGTTTGGACTCTGGACTTGGCAGAAGGAAGTGCGGCGGCACTTCGGGGCCACGGCGGCCTCCCTGTTCTGCTGGATGACGGCCTCGCAGTTCCACCTGATGTTCTACTGCACGCGGACGCTGCCCAACGTGCTGGCGCTGCCCGTGGGTACGTAGCTGACACCGTCGGGCCCCATGGCTCCCACGCCTCTCCTCTCGCTGGGCTCGGGCACACCTGTGGGTGACAGGTGAGTGTCCGCTGAGGCGCGCCTGCCAGGCGCTCGCTGCTCCCTGTGGGCGTCAGTGACGGACACCCTGTGACGGGACAGCCCTGTGAGGGGACAGCCCTGTGAGGGGACAGCCCTGTGAGGGGACAGCCCTGTGAGGGGACGGGACAGCCCTGTGAGGGGACAGTGACAGGACAGCCCTGTGAGGGGACTGGACAGCCCTGTGAGGGGACAGTGACAGGACAGCCCTGTGAGGGGACTGGACAGCCCTGTGAGGGGACAGTGACAGGACAGCCCTGTGAGGGGACTGGACAGCCCTGTGAGGGGACAGCCCTGTGAGGGGACAGTGACAGGACAGCCCTGTGAGGGGACTGGACAGCCCTGTGACGGGACGGCCCTGTGACGGGACTGGACAGCCCTGTGAGGGGACAGCCCTGTGAGGGGACAGCCCTGTGAGGGGACGGGACAGCCCTGTGAGGGGACTGGACAGCCCTGTGAGTGGACTGGACAGCCCTGTGAGGAGACTGGACAGCCCTGTGAGGGGACAGTGACAGGACAGCCCTGTGACGGGACAGCCCTGTGAGGGGACTGGACAGCCCTGTGAGGGGACAGTGACAGGACAGCCCTGTGAGGGGACTGGACAGCCCTGTGAGGGGACAGCCCTGTGAGGGGACAGTGACAGGACAGCCCTGTGAGGGGACTGGACAGCTCTGTGACGGGACAGCCCTGTGACGGGACTGGACAGCCCTGTGAGGGGACAGCCCTGTGAGGGGACAGCCCTGTGAGGGGACGGGACAGCCCTGTGACGGGACTGGACAGCCCTGTGAGGGGACAGCCCTGTGAGGGGACGGGACAGCCCTGTGAGGGAACAGTGACAGGACAGGGACAGGACAGCCGGGAGGGCAGTGGCGTCTGCTCTCAGCTGGTGGCGGTGCACTTCCAGGAGAGGGCGCACCTGGGACGGCTCCCTGTGCAGGGACTGGGGCAGGTGGCAGCTCGCTCTGGGTGTTCTGGCGATGCTCCAGGCAGATTGGGGGGCCACAGAGAGGCCATGGGTGCGTGTGTTTGGGGGTCTGTGCTGACCCGGTAGAGTGTGGCCTGGCCCTGGGGAGGGGTCCTTGGCTGAACACTCGGGGAGGGGTGAGCAGGGCGCCATTCCCCGTGAACCGCGGGCGGAGCCAGCAGCAGGATGGAGTGGAGGACGGGAGGACGGGAGGGCGGGAGGACGGCCTCGGGGGCGCTGCACACGCAGCCCCAGGCTCTGGAGATGCCCGGGGTCCGGGCTGTGAGACGGTGCAGGATGCGGGGTTGGGGCAGGGGCGGCAGGTCCGGGGGCCCGGCCGGCCGGGGGCCTGTCCTGAGCCGTGTCTGCTGTTCTGCGTGGCTCTCACGAGGGTAACGGCTGCTCTTGGGTCCACAGTGCTGCTGGCCCTGGCGGCCTGGCTGCAGCAGCGCTGGGCACGCTTCATCCGGCTCTCGGCGCTCGCCATCCTGGTCTTCCGGGCCGAGCTGAGCCTGCTCCTGGGCCTCGTGCTGCTGCTGCTGCTCTGCACCCGGCGGCTGTCCGTGGCCAGGGCCCTGCGCCACGCCGTGCCCGCCGGCCTGCTCTGCCTCGGTGAGTGGGCGCCGCCTCCGCCCCAGGCAGGACTTGCTCTCGCTGCAGAAACGAAGAAGGTGGGAGGGTTGGGCTTTGTCACTAGACGTGACTCCTTTGAAACCTAAGCAGCATCAGAAAGCCCTTGCCACGCTGCCTGGGCACCCCCTAAGGCGCTCGCCTCCGCTGCGCCCAGGTCATGTGGCCGAGGAAGACCCCTGGAGAACTGAGGCCCCGCGCCAGTGGGCCCCGGGCCTGGCACACCGGCTGCCCTCCCCCGCAGCCTGGCCGCCCGCTGAGCCCGGCGCGCGCGCGCACACACACACACACACACACCCCCCACCGGCAGCCTGGCCGCCCGCTGAGCCCGGCACGCACACACACACACACACACACACACACCCCACCGGCAGCCTGGCCGCCCGCTGAGCCCGGCGCGCACACACACACACACACACACGCACACACACCCCACCGGCAGCCTGGCCGCCCGCTGAGCCCGGCGCGCGCACACACACACACACACACACACACACGCACACACCCCCCACCGGCAGCCTGGCCGCCCGCTGAGCCCGGCACGCACACACACACACACACACACACACACACACACACCCCCCACCGGCAGCCTGGCCGCCCGCTGAGCCCGGCGCGCACACACACACACACACACACACACACACACACACACACCCCACCGGCAGCCTGGCCGCCCGCTGAGCCCGGCGCGCACACACACACACACACACACACACACACGCACACACACCCCACTGGCAGCCTGGCCGCCCGCTGAGCCCGGCGCGCGCACGCACACACACACACACACACACACACACACACACACCCCACCGGCAGCCTGGCCGCCCGCTGAGCCCGGCGCGCGCACACACACACACACACACACACACCCCACCGGCAGCCTGGCCGCCCGCTGAGCCCGGCACACACACACACACACACACACACACACCCTCCCCCGCAGCCTGGCCGCCCGCTGAGCCCGGCGCTGTCCTGAGGAGCCCGTTGCTTTGCCAGGACTGACGGTGGCTGTGGACTCCTGGTTTTGGCGCTACCTCGTGTGGCCTGAAGGCACCGTGCTCTGGTACAACACCGTCCAGAACAAGAGCTCCAACTGGGGCGTATCCTTTACCTGTCGCTGTGGGACGGCCCGGGGCCTCGCTCAGGCCAGGCGAGGGGCCGTCTCACCCGACGGGGCACCTGAGGAGGGTGTGGCAGCACCTCCACCCTGTCCGCCCAGGAGACCCTGCAGGGGGCTGGGTGTGCTCCGGCTTCCCGCCCTGTGGAAACCGCCTGCGTTCGGGGCCCAGCTTCCCCCTCAGCCCTGCGACTCTGCTTCCTGGTGCTTCGTTGTGGGATCTGAACCCACAGGAAGAAAACGGCCGAGTCCCCAGCGCACCCATCACCCGGACAGCGGTTTCCACGGAGAAGGAGGACGGGAGGGGAAGGTCCCACAGCCTGGTCACCTGGACATGCTGCTGCTGCCCAGGCCCAGGCCTGGCCTCGTCCCCGAGGGAAGGGGACCCCGTGGTGCCCTGGGGCCCAGGGCTGCAGGCGCCCCAGACAGACACTGTCCAGCTGTGTCTTCTGTGCTCCTGGCCTGAACCTGGCTGACGGGTGCGTGGCCGTCGCTGACACGTGGCCTCCTTGACCTCCCACGCAGACCTCCCCGCTGCTGTGGTACTTCTACTCGGCTCTGCCACGGGGCCTGGGCAGCAGCCTGCTGTTCGTGCCGCTGGGCCTCGTGGACAGGAGGGCCTGGGCGCTGCTCCTGCCGGCTCTGGGCTTCGTGGCCCTGTACTCGCTGCTCCCCCACAAGGAGCTGCGCTTCATCATCTACACCTTCCCCCTGCTGAACGCCGTGGCCGCCCGGGGCTGCGCCCGCCTGTGAGTGCCCCCGGGCTCCTGCCACGGCCGCTGAGGCTCACGGGGGAACGGCAGCCTGCTCTGCCCAGCAGCCTTTGGGCCACACACTGGCCAGTGGCACTGCTCCGTCCGTCTGTCCGGTTAACCCGGACGCGTGTCCCAGGCCTGTCTGCCTGGCTGTGCTAAGCGTCCAGGCTCAGCCACGTGGGCGCAGGAGAGCGTGGCCAGGCAGGGAGGGTGTGAGGCGGGTCGGTGAAGGCGGATGCTCAGAGCGGCAGGCTGGCTGGCCTCCGGGCTGAGAAAGGGGCCCCGGTTCATCGGGCCCCAGCCAGCCCCTTGTGAGCGTGGAGTCCTCCGTGGCGCCCTGCAGTGGTGGGGAGGGTTCCACGCACTGAACTCACCCTCCCTGACCAATAGTCTGGCGTCGGGGGCAGAGCAGGTGGGTGGGGACTGGAGAGGGTCAAGCTGTGTGTCTGGCAGGAGGCAGCGGTGCACTGGCCCCCCCCCCCCCCCCTGGACATGGACCCGGGGACCAGGGGGAAGGTGTGGGTGGTAGGTTTGCACCTCAAAAGGCAGAAACAGGACTCAGACTCACAAGCTCTGCAGTCACAGCCTGTGAGCGGCCCAGGGCCCCGTCCCCCCAGGCCGGGCTGGAACCGTGAAGACGGTGCGGTGACATGGTTCACACCGACTGCAGGCCGCTGGCCAGCGCCTGGTGCGAAAGGCTGGGCAGGGCCTGAGCGGAGTCAGGTCAGGCCCCGAGGTGACTCCGGCCGGCACATCTGACGGCCCAGGCGACAGTGTTCTCCGTGGCTCAGGTCCCTGTGGCCTCCGCCCGCCACGCCCGCCGGCTGCCTTACAGGCCATGCGGCATTCAGTGTTTGGCCTCGGGCTGTGCTCGAATCCAAGTCATAACTCCGGGTGCTCACATTTTGATGGCGATTTTAGATTGTCATTTTGGGTGGAATTTCACAGAGAAAAGCTGCAACTTCCGTTAGTAATTCACGTACCTACCTGGGGATGAACTCGTTAGGACTCAGCGGAGGGGACGCCAAGTTCACCTTCGTGGGGACATTGCTCCACCCGCTGCTGTCGCTCACTCCACAACGCTCTCCGCAGGCTGAACAACGGCAGGAAGTCCTGGCTGCACCGCGCAGGCTCCCTCCTGGTGCTGGGGCACCTGGTGCTGAACGCCGCCCACTCGGCCACGGCCCTGTACGTGTCCCACTTCAACTACCCCGGCGGCCGGGCCATGCAGCGGCTGCATGAGCTGGTGCCGCCCCAGACAGGTGGGTGCCCGGCCCCCCGGCCCCCCGGCCCCGGCGCAGGCGGCCGGCCCGGCTCTAACCACTCGTCTTCCCCAGACGTCGTCCTGCACATCGACGTGGCTGCTGCCCAGACGGGTGTGTCCCGGTTCTTGGAGGTCAACGGCGGCTGGAGGTCTGTCCTGCCGAGGGTGACGGCGGTGGGGACGGGGGGGTGGGCCGGCGTGGGGCCGCGCCAGGTCACCGCTCTGTCTGCAGATACGAGAAGAGGGAGGACGTGCAGCCCGGGTCGGAGCACATGCTGGCCTACACGCACCTGCTCATGGAGGCGGCCCCGGGGCACCTGGCCCTCTACCGGGACACACACCGGGTGCTGGCCAGCGTCGTGGGCACCACGGGGGTCAGTCTGAACCTGACCGCGCTGCCTCCCTTCAGCGTCAACCTGCAGACAAAGCTGGTGCTTCTGGAGAGACGGCGCGGGCCCTCCTGAGGGAACGCCCAGCGGCCGACAGGAACAGCACAGGCACAGCCTCACGTGCACCGTGCCTCCTACACGGGCCCGAAGCCACCCGCCACCCGCCACCCGAGGAGGGCCCCACGTGGGCCCTGCACACGGAGCGGTGGCCAAGCTGCTGGCTGCCCTGGAAGCCGCTTTGGGGCCTGGCACCTAACAGGAGCAGCCGGGGGAAGGTTGCGTGTCTGGCTGTGACGTCGGAGCCTCTGCACCTGCTGGATGGAGTGCCCCCTTAATCCCACCCTCCCAGGGACAGTTCCATGCGAGGATATTTCAGACATACACGTTCAAGGAGAATGAGAATTAAAGTTTGTACATCTTCCTCTTAGCAGTCTTACATGTGATGTTTCCAGAGAGTGCCTTCCCCTAGGTTTTATTTTTTATTAAAAAAAAAAATATGTGTGTGTGTGTGTGTGTGTGTGTGTGTGTGTTTTCTTATTTCAGAGAGGAAGGGAGAGGAAGAGGGAGATAGAAACATCAATGATAAGAGAGAATCATTGATCGGCTGCCTCCTGCACGCCCCTTACTGGGAATCAAGCCTGCAATCTGGGCATGTGCCCTTGACTGGAATCGACCCTGGGACCCTTCAGTCCATAGGCTGACACTCTATCCACTGAGCCAAACCAGCTAGGGCTAGGTTTTATTTTTATGTGAACTACGGCACAGTGCATGGATTCTTGCATATTGAAAGGAAACTATAAGAAATATTTTAATATCGCTATTCACCCTTTCTCTGTAATAGAAGCATCAACCAAATTAACGATCAACTATGACAGATCAACACATGTGTTTGCAACTGGCACCAGTGAGAGCTTTTTATGTATTGCATATGTGCGAGCCAATTTAGTCTTTTATATATATAGAATAAACTTGCTTAATTAGACCTGCTATCTGAATTAGCCAAACTTTTTCCAGCCCAGTGAAGCACCCTAACTTCTCTTTTAGGTAATTGTTAGCAACACATCAGTAAATATCAACACAAAGCAGGTTATTATTGTAGATCGTGCAGAAAAAACAAAGGGTAAACCATTTAACTGCAGCAGTGTCTGACTATATTCTGCGCAGTGAGAAAACCTGAAGTCATTTTTAAGGTCCACCATTTCTTACTTTTCAGTCAGGTCAAGTATCTAAACTTTCTAAATCTCCATGTTCTGGCTAATGAAAAGAAAATAGGATTCCCCCAAGTCTCCTATCTGCCTACTCCAGGACTTCTGTGAAGATCAAATGAGATGAGGCACAGGAAAATGCTTCACAAACATTTGGTTACAGTGTAAAATGTTTGCACCTGGCTATAAAGCAAGTTGTATTCCTGGGCTGAAGAAACTCCAAGGAGGCTGGTCACTATGGAGAGGAAGCCAGGCGTTGCTACATGTCACCCAGTGCTCACAGCCACCGTTTCCAGGCTGGGCTGGGCTGTGGGCCACATTTTGCACCATGGCAGCTTCGGCTGCGATTTGGTGGGCTGTTGCTCTGGGGTGGTGGCAAGGCCTGTGTCCCACTTGGGGGAAGCTGAGTGTTGCTTTGTCAGCGCCAAGTCCACAATGCCATTTCTCTGTAAATGGCTGGAGCATGTCACAGCAGCTCCTGCATTGAACGTCTGCCCCCTGGTGCTCAGTGCACGTCATAGCGATTGGTCAGACACTTAACATATTGGCCTTTTATATATATAGATTGGGCACATTTATGCTTTACTGAACCACATTTTTAATTAGCCAAAGTGTCTGACATCAAAGTTAATATAAAGAATGGGGTGTCACTGCACATGTGTGCACACACATACCACATGCACATACACACAAGTGCATAAAGACAAGCTATCATCTGAGCATTCGAGAGTGAGTTGCCTACCGCAAGGCCTGGACCCTTGACTACCCCCATGTGTCCAGGAAAGGCACTGCAGTCACTGTTTGCTCCACAGCAGCTGACTGGCAGCCTTCAGACCCTTGAGACCAGGACCTCCTGCAGCTGTGCCACACGTGGCACCTGCTGACCATGAGGCCAGCAGTCTGCAGGGCCTCCACCTCTGCCAGTCAGCATTGGGCACTGTGTGTGAGTCCTTGCCCATTTTTCAGTACTTATTTATCTATGATTGGCATTTGTCAACTCATGGATAATTTCTCAGCATTCAAATATGTGTCAGTTATTGGCATGTGTGAGCGAGTTGTTGCTGGGCTTGATGGTCTGAGTCACCCTGTCTACTCCTCTTGTGTTCAGATTGTGCAGGATTCACACTATGCCCCATCATGGTAACTTCTGGAGCACTGTCCTACTTCATGGCATAAGGTGTGCATTCTGGCTCTTCCAGGCCTCTGTCTACATTCTGGAACCATCCATTTCTCTGAGGGCACCATTTGGCAGGAAATGGTTTTAGAAACCAAGATCTGGTACAAAATATGCTCACTGCTATCGGGAGGTCTGCTTCTAGGTCCCTTCTGTGGATGGAGCTGGGCAGGCCAGGGTGCTGTGTGCGCACAACCAAGGTACATGCTCTTAACCGGAATCGAACCCGGGACCCTTCAGTCCACAGGCCAATGCTCCATCCACTGAGCCAAACTGGTTTTGGCACCAACGTTTTATTAACATATAACAGCATTCATTCACTGAGATGAGACAGTTCCCAAGACTAAGCTTTTTATTAGGAGTGACCAGATATCACCTACAGCAGGGAAGGGAACAGCTTGGTACTCGGTCTGAGCAAGCTATAGCGGGATGGCCAAGAGCAGTCGCATTTCCAGTTGCATTCCTCTATAGCAGTGTTTCCCAAAGTGTGGTACGCATACCCCCAGGGGTACGGGAAGAGTTTGGTGGGGGTACACGTTGCACCGGAGTTTGGTGGGAATATGCACTGCACCGTGCTTAGCTGCGCCTAATTCTACGTTCTCATGAGTATGAGGGGTACTCAGCGTTACAAAAATGATAGAAGGGGTACACATATGTCAAAAGTTTGGGAAACACTGCTCTATAGGAAAACATCGGTATCAGGACCAGCTATGAGCAACACCAGACAGCTGTTGGCACTGGGCCTGTCACAGCAGCCTGGTCAGCAGCACAGGAACACAGGTTTGACTGTTTCTGCAGCGCTCACAGGACCTGTTTCTAGTCAACATGAGCGAATGCGCAAAGAACCGCTGCCAGCCCATCACTTGAGGTCCATCCCTTGGGCCATGTTCTCTGTCCTCTGAAGTGAGCAAGCTTGTCCTGTAACGGACCCAACAGCAAACATCCGGCTGTGCGCCTGTCTCCGTGACAACCATTAGGAGCTGTCCGTACACGATGAACCCTCCCCTATAGTGGAAACCCACGTTGAACCATTGGAGCATGAGTACGAAAGGAGATACATCAGTGCTTATCCCTGACGTGAGCTGGGCAACCGAGACAAATGGTGCTCAGCAGGCACAGAGCCTCATACGGTCCACAGGCTCCTGAGGGTCGGGAGCCCTAGCTTGTGACTGGTGAACTGGAGGCACAGGAGCAGTTTACAGACCTGAACGACTGAGACCATCAGTCTGGCACCAGGTATACAGATCCTTCAAGGAAACGTTTCCCATATCAAATTCACCTGAGCACTCAAGAGCCAGGGCCCCCAGCCAGGAGCCACCCATGACCTCCACCTTGTGAGGCAGGGCACTACCAACCCAGATAAAAAGCTGAGGGACTCTTCCATGAGGAAAGCTGTGGGTCCAACACTGAATCTCCAGGAAATTTATTCTGGCCTTCTGGACTCACCTGGATCTGGTTAGACCCAGCACAGGGAAGACTGATGACAGCCTGGATCTCAAACTGGTGACGTCTTTACACACAGTATTGCTTTGAGCACACATTTACAGGGATTCTCATGTAAGTTGTGGAGAAATCACATGAGCATGGCTCACCAATTGGTGCTCCCGGAACAGAGGCTGGATTCGGGAATTTGCGCGTAGCATCTCGGGAGAGGCTACATGGACAAGGCGATTACGAGGCTGCCCATGGGCTCTTCTGTTTAGGCACTATGCATGGGCACTGGGCCTGTCTCCGTGACAACCATTAGGAGCTGTCCGTACCGATCATTCTCAACACAAGTCAGCATCATCTCAGAAAACTGTTGGAAGGACCACTTCATCACCTCCCTATGTCCTATCTGGAACTAAGGTACAAATTCAAGGGCTGCATGAACGAGGTTTCCCTGTGCATTGGCACCCAAAGGATATGACTGCTTTATCATCCCAAGAAGAAAAAGCCAGCTACTCCAACAGTGGAAAATTGCAAATAAAAAGTTTAATTTTAGAAACTGAGTTCCCCATTTATAAATATACCAAAACATAGTCAATGCAAAGTGAGAATAATAACAGGTACAGTATTTTGAGGAAACAACTTTTCTAAAAGGGCACAGGCAATGAGTGACTTGTTTCACCCAGAATATTTAATTGGTATGAAATAAGAAAAGGGATCCTTTTCTACATGTTGAAGCAAAAACTGAGGACATACTGTTAAAAGAATCTGACAACTGGCATTTCATTCTGATGTCCCTGGGATTCCAAAATACCCGTGATGACTGAGTCTTCCGTATTGTCACGAAACACTGAAGGCTGCTCTTACAACTGTCATGTGACAGTCTTCTTCCCTGTTAACAAGCCACCTCCTCTAAAAAGAATTTTACACGTGATTTGACCAATGGGGGGGGGGGGCACTACACACATTTCAAAATAGAGACACTATTTTGAAGTCTATAGTTTCAAAGTAGAGACACTAAGTCAGAAGCTTGGAGGTTCAATCACCAGAACTGCTGTAAACGTGTTGGACAACAGGTAGCAAGGAGCACGTTCTAAAGAGTCAGGATGTCTCCCATGTAACTGACCAGTGAAACCTCAACACGAACACAACATGGGGAAGTTCTTACCAGCACTATGTGACTGACATTCCATGATACATTTAAGTTTAGTATTGTCTTCAAATGCCACATCTCTGTTGTAGTGAACAGCATCTTCCACAATATTCTCTGCACTCCTCACATTATGTCAGAGATGCAGGTAAAAACCACTCAGTCAGGATGGCTCCTACTCCATCTATTTCCATATTTTATCTGACAGCCACAAAGGCTGCTTTCTTGCAATTAAAGTAATTTTTAACTAAAATACAGTACCTGATTTGTTGTTCTTACATAACTGGATAAAAAGCCTGTGGAATAAAACTGTTTACATCTTCTGTCTTTCTAGTAAAACAAATAACTAACCCCCAGCTTTTAAAAACAATTACAGTTATGGATTAAAACCTAAACACCATATCTCATAATTGACAAGACAGGCTATTTCTAGTGGCTTCGAAAAACACACACCACGGTACCTGGCTTGAAGG